TTTTTTTTTTTTTTTTTTTGCCCCGGACACAAACCCGCCCTTGGGGGCCCTCTGGCGTAAGCAGGGGGGCTAGCAGAATGGGGACGGGGGCGGGGGGGGGTTCCACCAAGGGAACGGAAGCTAAGATCAACCAACCCAGGAGATTTGTTTCCCTGTTGAGAAGGCAACCTTCTAGTCTCCCCCAAAACTGAAAGACCCTATTTCCTTCATCGCTGCCACCACCCCCTCCCCTGCAGTACTAGGATATTCAGAAGAGTGGGGGGGAACCTTCACAACCCCCCCTTATTTTTTACCTCTCCCCCCCCTTTTAGCCAAAGACGTTTCCCAGAACCTGGGGAATGGGGGGGGGGGGGGGGGGTATGGGGTGGACGGCTTCCTTACCTTCTTGTTGCTCTTGTTGTAGCCAAAAGTGGCAATTCCTGCACGAGGAGGCACCGAAAGAAGCATTTTCGCTTTAATGTTAGAGAGCTTGGGAAGGGAGGGGAGGGGGGGAAGAGAGAGAGACACACACACACTCACACAGAGAGAGAGAAAAAAGAGAGAGAGAGAGAGAGAGAGAGACAGGGCTTCTGGCTTACGTCACCAAAGCAAGCCAGCTTGGAATCTAGGGCTAGGGTGCCTGCTTTCCGCCAGGTCCTAATGCCTATGCTAGACGAACCAAGAGAGCTTCCTTCAAAAAGAGCTGGAAATTTAGAGAACTAATTGCAGAAGGTAAACTGTAAGTGACCTTATGTGCCAAGAAGCATTCCTGTCACTAACTTCAGCCTCTGGCTGCACTGAAAAATAGAAATGTCATAATGCTAAGCTATTCATCAGGTGTCCAACAAACGCTGGCAGTGCCCCCTCTTTTCACCACACAGGATGCAACATACCAATAATTGCCCAAACCATGGTCATGATTAATGAGCACCCTGCAAAGATCCAAACTAAAACCACATTATGATTGCTGCAGGACAAAATGCTGTACAGGTAGTCCCCAGTTTTAGAATGAATTCCATTCCAAGTTCTGTCCTTAAGTTGAATTTGTATGTAAGCCAGAACAGTATTATTGTATAATACTGTATAAGTAGTATTGTGTAATTAACTCAAATCATTGTGTTTTTAACTCAATTCACTGTGTTTTTAACTCAAATTTTACTACAATAGACCCTGTTCTTAACTACGGGTCGTCCATAAAACGGGCGTTCTTAACCCAGGGACTACCTGTACTCCAGGTTTCCTAGGATAACCCGTTTCCAATTATTCCTGCATGTCATTTTTAGAATTGAGAGTAAGTAGAGTCTCACAGCATTTTACTTATTAAAGCCATAACATGTTTTTCAAATTCTAGAACAGGTTTTCTTTTCCTACCTGGGGAAAATCAAAAGAGGTTTGCTCTTAACGACCAAGGCTGAGACTCACACAGACTCAGAGCAGAGATGCCAGTTTCTTGCTGACTGTGGATAATCCATTGCTCTGGGTGTAGCTCCAGCCTGGAAAAAGGCAAGGCCACTTTCCCTGGTGGCAAATGATTCTGCTGTCCCAATATGAGAAATGATTAAATACTCTGCTACGTTCACTGATAAGCTTCAAATGAATTACTCACCCTCTTGTGGAGATGAGGATAACTCCAAGGAGGCAAGGTAAGATCAGACAGGGATGCAACATGAAACTTCCTCTCAGCTCAATTGTCTTTAGAAAAAATTAAATAGTTCTCTTTCGTGACACTGTATTGTGTTCCACCACACATTTGAGGTATTACTGTTCTGGGGGGGAAAAGTAGTCTCAAGTTACTTGAAAGTTATGGTTGTAATGTACAATTTCTATAATACTTTGTACAGAGATTAAGTTCACGTATCACACAAAGTCCTAGGTTGCTTAGGTCCCATGCCTTGTTGAGCAAGCCATACCCATAGTATATGAACTGAGACATTATGTCTTGCAAACCAAGTCTTAGCACACTTATAAACCTAACCATTGTATTTAACAAACCATGGTTAAAGCAAACCATGTCTTGATGTGTATAAACTCAACAGCATCACTGTATTTATAACTGAGCAGTATTCAAATATGTGGTCAGTTTTCAGCCAGACAGCTTTGGATAGGGGATAAGGCAGGATAGCAGAACAATGCAGTTTCTCCTATCTATGCAAATATTCCAAAGTGAATAGGAAGTACCCTCCACTTCTGTTTTAAGGAAATCAGAGGATTTAGCAAGCCATGAGAAACAAAGAAAAGACATAAGATGTCCATTATAGTGTTTGCATAACATTAGGAGTGCAAAAATTCCCCAGGAGTTTCTCTGCCCTGCAAAGGGAAAAATACCTTCTCTTAAAGCCAACAAACCTGTAGCTGTTTTTAACTAGAGCCAGTCTTTTGTACTGTACATTTAAGGAGTTTTAAATGTCCATTCAAATACTTCCATTCAAACACAGGTAGTCCCCAGTTTAAGAATGAGTTCCATTCCCAAAGACCATCCTTAAGTCGAATTTGTATGTAAGCCAGAACAGTATTATTGTATAATACT